TTATTTTTTTAAAAACTTTTGTTCTTTCCTTTCAGATGAGATGAGGGCGCCATCAGAGAGGAGATCTCTCCACAGTCTTTCTAGGGGTGATTCTCAGTATATGGAGTTTTTCTTTGTTTCATCCTATGTCTCGCTTTCATGCCACCCATTTATTTATTTTCACTGCCTTTGCTGTTAATCTTCTTTCTATAGCCCCCTGTCCACTTCTTCCCTTTCACTGCAGCGTGCCAACAATTCTCCTTTTCTGGCACCCTACCCTGTAGCTTGTTGCCTCGTTATCATTTGTCGCAGCCACCATTTCAGCATCTGCTGTTCATGTTTTATCAGTCACCAGCTATATTGCTTTCCCTATTTCCAATGTTTTCTCTCATTAGCTTACATCGCCCTTATTCCAGCCACGTCTCCTCTCAATCATAGTTTTCTCTTCTCACCTCTTCTCTTTATTTCTTAGCTGTCTAAATTTCTGCCAGCCTCTATATTCTGCCATGCTATATATGGGCTGGCTCGCAAAATCTAGGGCCAGGCACTGAGGTCTGAATTAAATAAAAATGGCTTACAACAGTCTCCAGATACAATTAGTTAAATTGCTTATTAGAAGAATATACTTGCCTCCAATTTATTGAATAAACAAACAGGGGCCTAAAAGAAGGTAAAGAAACCATTCAGAAATCCATTTTTAAGAACACAAAATAGTTTGAAAAGAAACAAGAGCAGTTAATTCCAGAATATTGAACTTGAGGTGTTGCAGTGACACCTAATCAACTGGTTTGTCAAGCAAGTGTAGTGGCTCGAGTACACACCAATTAAAACCTACCAAAGCTATCAAGCTACAACAGGTTTGTGACATAGCAAGTAGTGGTATAAGATTGTTAGATATAGACAGATATATGAACAGAAACATAATGCTTCAAAGTCAGGTGTCAGAATTAAATTATCTATGATTATCTTTTAAATTTATTTTTAAATTGCTGAATTGGGCATTTCAGATTGCTTCAAGATAACTGAAGCACCTCAGTGCTCAGACAATTCAACTAACATGTGAATTCTACAAGTGCTATATAATCTTCAATCATCTTTCTCCATAGGGATCTAAATATTTTTCTTGATGGCTCTGTGATCGTTTTGACATCTACATTTGATTTTCAGGGTCTGTTCGTTTATTATCAACTCCTTTATTAAATGATGCAGTCACATAATGGTATTGTTTTCTATATTCATGTTTTAATTAAAGATTTGCTTCTTTAAAAGAAAAGGCAGCACGCAAAAAACTGTAAGACAGATGACTAGGAGACAGCAAGAACTACAGATGCTGGAGTCCGAGACAACACAAAATGGAGCTGGAGGAACACAGCAGGCCAGGCAACATCAGAGGAGCAGGAAAGTTGATGTTTTGGGTTGGAACCCTTCTTCAGAAGGGAGGTGAGGGAAAGGAGCTGGGAAATAAATAGAGAGAGGAGGGGTGGGGCTTGGGAAGGTAGGTGGAATGGTGATAGGTGAGTGCAGGTAGGGAGTGGTGGGGATTGGTCAGTGGGATGTGTGGGGCAGATCGGTGGAAGAGAAGGTGGACAGGTTATGTCAGGTCGTGTCAGGTCAAGCAGGTAGGGATGGGAGGGAGGGTTAGAATTGGGATGGTGCCGGGGGTGGGGAGAAAAGAAACTGATGATTTCCATGTTTAGGCCATTGGGCTGTAGGCTGTCGAGGTGGAATATGAGATGCTGCTCCTCCAGTTTGTGGCTGGTGTCACTGTGACACTGGAGGAGGCCCAGGATGGACATGTCACCCCAGGGAGTGTGAGGGGGGAATTAAAATGGTTGGCGACCAAAAGGTATTGTTGTTTATTGTGTACAGAGCGCAGATGCTCCACGAAACTGTCTCAGAGTCTACACTTAGTCTCACCGAAGTAGAGGAGGCCACATCAGGAGCAGTGGATACAATAGACCAAGTTGACTGATGTGCAGGTGAACCCCTGTGAGATATGGAAGGTTTGTTTTGTTCCTTGAATGGAGGTGAGGGGGGAGGTATAGGGGCAGGTGTAGCACTTTCTGCGGTTGCAGGGAAAGGAACCGGGTGTGGTGGGGTTAGTGGGGAGTGTGGAGTGGACGAGAGAGTTGTGGAGAGAACGGTCCCTACAAAAGGCAGATAGGGGTGGGGACTGTAGGTGACGGAAGTGGCGGAGAATGATACGTTAGATGCAGAGGTTGGTGGGGTGATATGTGAGGACAATGGCGGAGGACAAGGGGGGAGGACAAATTAAGCTATTTTAGTTGTTTTGACAGAAGGATAAGTATTGGACAGGACACAGAGAAATTCTTGATTCTTCCTTGAAAATTGCCATTGGGCCAGTTAGGTCCATTTGGGAATGCAAATGAAGTTTTGGTGCAATAGCTCACTAGAAAACAGTTCTTCAAATGCTGAACTCCCTCCGTATTGCAATAAATTACAATTAGATTACATATCAAAGATTGTGGAATGAAATTTGACCATACATCCTTCTCATTCAGAAACACAAGTGCTACCACTTGAGTGTGTTCCCCTGGAAACATTGTTCCGAATTAAAATTACTATGTAGTGAAAACATGTAAGCACATGAAACTTATTGACAGCATGAAAATAGGGAGCAATATAGAAAAATGGCACATGAAAAAAGATTTAGGGAAGCAATCTGGTGTATTTTGAAAATCAGCAAAGTTTAAATTCAAAATAATGCTTGAAACTAAGGTTCAAAATCAATTTTCTTATTTTTTTGCAAGGCATCCTTTGGCCTCTAACTTTAGACTTTAGCAATATCGCCATTCTCAAATCCATTTCAACTCAGATTTGATTCCAGGTTTTAAAACTTTTTTAAATACCTTAATATTGTTATTTATTATTTAACTAAGAAAATGATATCATTGCACACCTAATCCGATTTCGTCCTTTTTATATATTATTTCCACATGCATTTGGCTTTATGCTTTATTTACTGCCTTCAACTTCCCTTCCTTTCTGTTTATGTAAGTATGTTTGCTGCTTAATTCTCTCTTGCAATGAAAATTTTCTCGTTTGTTCTCTCCACATATCCTGACCAGTTTTTCAAACTAAAATTGTTTCAGTTCTCCCAGAGCAATGCTGAATTAAAGGATAGCTGTCTTATAGAAATAGGGCTATTATCAAGAAGGCACACGGCAGATTTGTTTTCAGACATAATGGCAGTGGCTTGAGCTCAAGCTTTTGAGCTGGGCCTCACTCATACACCGTACTTATTCTGTGGCTCCCGTTATGAGAGTTACTTTTTTCTCATTTGGCATCCCCTTCGTTGATATTTTTGTGCAGGATTTTTTGGACTTAAGGCTAATTTGTCCATCATTTGTGCTTCTATGGTGCAGCAGTAACATCCAGTGTACCCAGAGGTGCAGATTACATAATTTGGTGTGGTCATTCAGTGGTTAGCACTGCTGCCTCACAGTGTGAGGGTCCCAGGTTTGAATCCACCCTCAGGTATAGTTTTCAGGGATGTGTAGATTAGATGGGTTATAGGGGGATGGGTCTGGGTGGGATGCTCTGAGGGTCAGTGTGGACTTGTTGGGCCGAAGGGCCTGTTTCCACACTGTAGGGATTCCACGATTCTTCGGCTCCTCCAATTACTTTGATGGCTGTTTTAATTCTTCGGAGCAGAAACAAATCAATATAATTCTGATAACTTCCTTTATAATTTTAAAAATAAAAATATTTATTCTCAATTAAGGCATCCTATTAACACAATGAAGCCTCAGATGCATAGTATTAAACCTGCTAATTCGAGTGCTGCCAAATTATAATTCCAATGAGGATATATGCATACATTAGCTTGACTTTACAAATCCTGTATTATCCTAGCCTTAAAGTCCACACAACTATCAAAGGTCTTCAAGCAGGATGTTAAGACATACCTACTCTCTCTCTATCTATCTTAATTCCTTGTAGACTACCAGCTTCCCCTATTTTCTTTCTATCCCTGTATGCTGGTCTCTTTTCCTGCAAAATACAGGAATTCATGTGATATGAAGTGTTACATTTAACATCTTCTTGTTCTTGTGCATAAAAGCTACTTGCACTAAATGCACTAAAAGCATAAAATGGAGAAAAATTAGGTTTTGCATAATAATCAGATTTCATGGCCATCTGATCTGCATGTCAATGAAAACCTCAGATCTGCAAGATTTATCTTCTTCTAATTTAATTTAGTCAATGCTGTTAATCTAGTCCTGACATTTTGTTCTATAGACACTGCAATATCAGTGTTGAATTACTTCTTCGGCACATGTAACACAGATAATAGATTACGTCTAATAGCACCCAAACTGCTGGTGGGGACAGGAGCATGGGAAGAAGAATTTCAAGAAACCAAAGTAACATGAAAGATTGATATAACAAACCATTTTCCTTGCACATAAGTGAACTGTTCACAACTTCCACTTACAGCGATAACAGTCCTTTCACATTAAGATTCAAATGTCTACTGTGGGAAAACATTCCGTCATAATGAAAGAAAAGTGCATCTCTGCAAGTAACAGTTTCAAGGAATATCTTAGCCCTTCTTTCCAAAATAATAAAATATTCCTATAAAGAAAAAGTGAAATCCAGATTATCTGTGCACATAGCAGCAAATAGAGATATTAAAATGTAACACGTAATTTAATTTTTCTCAACCAACTTGTAAAATCCTGTTCTGCTTTGGTTAAGGTCAATGACTGTCATATCTTCCCAGCAACTATTCAATAAATGGAGTACCAATCAACTTCCCATTTCATGTAAAAATAATGCTACACAAGTACGATATTCTCACCAAATCAATACAACTGATATCACAGAGAGTTTTCAATTATCAACATGAACTCATCAGTTGAAATCATCATAACAGTGAAACAAGAAACAGCTGAGAAAGAGTCCGGATAGAATAGTGGAGAGTGAACAAGCTAATAAATGAATGGAAAATTCTTCTTACATGAAAGATAAAAACAAAAACAGAAAAAGCAGCTTACGATCTATGGCAATTTTTTCTGTTCCATCCAGTGGATTAATAAGTCCTGGAATTGGTTCTCCAAATGAGTAATGATCTATTCGGTGTGAAAAATTGTACACTAAAGACAAACACAGAAACTTCGCTGTCAGGCTGTACTTTATATCAACAAGCAACTTTTCAGAAATCCATTACTCTTGCTTTCCATACACAGACTGCTCTTCAAAAAGATTTATAACAAGAACACAGATCAAGAAAGCAAATACTCAGTGCATTAAGAGGAAAATTAAATTAAAGTTAAATTATATTTCAATGTAAATAAAGCATTTGCTGCTTTTCTTTCCCAGCCCAACATGTAAGCTCAGAGTATTTTTCCCTCAAATCTAGTCAAAATCAACCTGAAAAATAATTTTGGTATGTCGCAAGTTTAATTGCAACTTTAAACTCTAAAAATATGGTGGTGGACCAGAGCATCTGTAAAGTACGTGCAGTATTTAGGCTAAAGAGCACCTCCATGTGGTTAAAAGCAGTATGTCAGTAAAATTTTCCTCTCTTTTTAAATAATTACATTCATCAGCCAAGAAACTTTAAATCCTGTATATCATAAAGTAAGGAAAAAATAAATAGGAATTCCTTTTAAATCATTTAGATCAACAAAATTATAGTGCTGTATTATTAAAGGAGCCTTCAACAAATAAAATTTACATGCTCAGAGCTCTCGTTTCTAAGACTAAGCTTTCAAATAGGGGGTCTATTTTACAGAAATAACATTTCAGAGAGCTTGCAATCCACCCTCTCTCATTAACTTGCTAACATAGAGCTACTAGGTCCAGTCCAGTTCACCTACCCATTCATCCCTAAAATGTAGTGTAAAAAGAGCCAACTTTTTTAATCAATAAGTTTTTAGTTATAGATAAATAATCTCAACGGACTCAAATTCTGTACACCTAATTTTATCAAATTTATCACAATAAAAGCCATTTATATAAGGCCTTGATACCATATGTTAACATGCAGATAGATACAAGGCGCTAAATAGCTGCCTTCAATTTTGTGCTATCAAGTAGATCTGCACCCGAGTGGAGTCTGATTTCATTGGCAAGCAGGTGGTAAGTATTAAGTTTTTGGATCTTACGTGGAAGTTTTACATGGGATTGGCCATTACTTGAGTATATAAAGAGTAGCTCTCATTTTCATTCAAACTTTTGCTACAAAAACAGCAAAATGGTACTGAACCATACACAGCAGCAAAGACCCAGGCTTGATTATGCAGTGAGAGATAGTAGGATTGTGGAGTGAACCAGTCTCAGCGGGTAAGCAATAGGGATAGACATTGGTCTTAGTGCCTTTCTGCAGCGCAAAGGTAAGAGAAAGGGAAAGCAAAGTTCCCATTTGAGATAGTTACTCAATAATTGTATGGATTCCACTGGTGTAGCTGTGTTGCTCCCCATGATAAACAAAGCAGCGATGCATAATTTCTAGGTTCACGCAATCACTGCAATTAGCTTTGGGGAACAGTCAGCCGCAGTGCAACCACACCCAGACTGATCTTGTTCTTGAGAAGATAGATTTTAATATTTAAATAGTGTATTTCATGATCTCATGTAATCCCCACTTTACACCCAAGAACATTTTTTTTTTTTAAGTGCAGTGGCATTATCAGAAGTACAGCAGCTAATTTATGCAGAAACGGCCCCCAGAACCAGCAGTGGTATAAGAATAAGGTAATATGTTTTATTGAAGTTACTGGAGTGATTCTGTCCTTTTCAAATGTTAATCTAAGGTGGTAGGGGAAGCCTTAGTTAACAATCCATCTGAAAAGTTATGATCCAAATGATGCTTCGCTCCTTCTGTATTGCAATTAGAGTGTAGTTTAGATTTTATGTTCAAGTGTCTCAAAGGCTGCATGAACATACAATATTGGCTATGAAATGTCAGCGTTAATAACTAAACCAAAATTGAAAGGGACAAAAAGAATCTAGCAGCCCTATATTTCCTTTCGTAAGCATTATGCATTTTGTCAAATTTATCTGAATGGCATAAATTCATCTACAACTTTGTTAATAATAATCTGCTAACACTTACCATCATGACTAATGAGAGCTGCCATATGTGCATGACCTCGAGGATGAGGAATCGCCCTAATAGCATCAAGAAAATTTCTAAAATAAGTTAGGAAACTTTTAAGACAACCTGAGCATAAAGTAACATTGAATAAGATCCAATTCCTTCACCATTATAAAATATCTATCAAAATATTAACAACTATTGACAGAACCAGTAGCCAATATGAAAAAGGATTCACTTTATATTTCCCATTCACATTAATGAATTTATTTAGATTGTCAGGGCAAACTAGATACTGGACTGCAAAGTGGTGTGGCATGTAGAAGCAACAAGTGATCTCTATTTGGGACATGGAGGGAACACAGATAGAAAGACTGGATTGTGAGGTGGTGGTAGTGGGTGAGTGGATTTGGTCAGTGATACAAGTCAAGCCCTTGCTTCAAGTGAAGTGAATCACATTCTCCCATTAAAACGAAGGTAAAAAGTGTTTCAGAAAAATCTGAAACATTACCCTCTACAATTTTAAATACTTTACATTATTAATTTTGTAGTTATTTACTTAGCCTGTCCCCAAATCTCTTGCTCGTGTTTCCCTTTCCTAAAACCTTGCTGAAAGCAACTGAAAAAGCTGGTCCACTTTTTTCTCCGGAGCTCTCACAGCAAGGGTTCAGGAGAGTGAAGTGGTGAATGGGAAACATGAAAATGATTAGAACAGTGGCAGATCAACACTTCTGCATTGTCAGAACCCACACATTCACAACTCTGAGGCTCTGGTTTCTGATCAGATCTGGATCTGCACCTTAAAACTGGAACACAGGCTCAGAAGAGGGAAATGGCATATAGGTAAGTTGGGAAGTGGGAAGTTTGATGAAACCAAGGATCAGTGACAGGATAAGTCAGGAAGCAGCAGAGACCACCTGTCACCAACTCCATCAAATTACCAACCAGATGTGAAGATAAACTGCAGAATAGAAATTAAACTGTTATTGCACGTTGTACTTAATTCAAAACCACTCCAACCTCAATCATAGAATTATACAGCATAGAAGAGGCCCTTCAGCCCATCCAGTCTGTACCAACCTATCCTATTTTCTAGTACTTGGCCCAGAGCCTTAAATGTTACGACATTTCAAGTGTTCACCCACGTACTTTTAAAAGGCTGTTAGGTTTCCTGCCTCCACCGCCCTCCCATTTATTCAGTGAGTGTGCAAAGGATGCTCGTGCGCTTTCACTTCAGCTGAGCATCAGGCATTGTAAGCTCTTTCTCTGAAGGGTGACAAAAATGGGCCTTCCACTAAACATCTGGACAACTGAGGTTTTTTTCCAACCAGCTCCCACTGCATGACACAATTACCTATCAATTACAATCAATATCAAGATCCTGGAAAACAAAAAGTGGATCACTTTCCATATCTTCTGGAAGAAGCAAGGTAAAGGAAGCAAAATTCATCACCGCTTTCAACTCAACCTTCAGACAGACAGTGGGGTAGGGGGCTGGGTCTGGGTGGGATGCTTTTCAGGGGGTCAGTGCAGACTTGATGGGTTGAACAGCCCCTTTCCACACTGTAGGGATTCTATGATTTTAAGACTGTGACAAACCAGATTTTTGGTCCATTGGGAATCAAGGGATACAGGGAATGGTCAGGAAACTGAGATCAATGGAAAAGATCAGCCATTATCACATTGAACAGCAGAGCGGATTCGAGTGGCTGCATGGTCTATTGTTTCTTTACGTTTTTATATAAGTATGTTACCAAGTCAAAATCCAGCCATTAGTTTTGATTAATGGAGCTAGTAATATGATGAATGCACGTACTTGCCCACAGTTATGTGAAAATTTCCTGCAACTTTGTTGACATACAAGTGTCCGTGTATCCTGCAGGCATCAAGTGGATGAGATGATCTGTCTTCCCTGGAAAAAAAAAATCAATCAATTGCTGTCTTGAACCTGCTTAGTAATTGGGATACAGGATTTCAAAGAGTCACTACTCTGAGTAAAGAAATTCCTCTTCTTCTCAGTCTTAAATGGCCTCCCCGAAATTCTACAATAATGGCCTCTGGCTCCAGGATCTCCAGCCAAGGACAGCTTCCTATCGATATTCAATCAATCAGTCACACATAGAAGATCACAGAATCCTTAAAATGTGGAAACAGGCCATTCGGCCCACAGAGTCGACACAGACTCTCTGAAAAGCAACCCACCCAGAACCACACCCCCACCCCATCCCATCCCTGTAACACTGCATTTCCCATGGCTGATCCATCTAGCCTGCACATTCCTGGACACTATGGGCAATTTAGCAAGGCCAATCCACCTAACCTGCACATCTTTGGACTGTGGGAGGAAACCGGAGCACCGGGGGGAAATCTACGCAGATACGGGGAGAACGTGCAAACTCTACACAGGCAGTTGCCCGAGGTGCATTCAAACCTGGGTTCCTGGTGTTGTAAGGCAGCAATGCTAATCACTGAGCCACCATGCCTTGTAAGTTATACCTTATAAGTTTCAATGAGTTTCTTTCTTCGAAACTCCAGGTCTAGTGAGATAACTGATGTGTTTTTAATTTTCCAAAACTTTTTAGGTTTGGGGAAGGTTCCTATAGATGGAAAATAGCTAATCTAACCCATTTATTCAAAAATGGAGGGAAGCAGAGAGCAGCAAACTACAGGCCAGTTAAGTTAACATCAGTCATAGGGAAAATGCTTGAAGTTACCATTAAAGATATTATAACAGGGCACTTGGATAAGTTCAAGGTAATCAGGCAGAACCAAGATGGTTTTGTCAAAGTGAAATCATGTGTAACTAATGGCATTTGATAAAGTGCCACATTAAAGGTTATTGCGGAAATTAAAAACTCATATACTATAAGGGGTAACGTATTAGCATGAATAGAAGATTCATTAGCTAGCAGCTAGCAGGAATAAATGGGTCTTTTTTAGGCTGGCAGAATGCCACGAGTGATGTTCAATAAGGGTTGATGCTGGGAACTCAACTCTTTATAACTTACGTAAATGATTTGGATGAAAGGATTTAAGGTATGGTAGCTGATTTTTCTGATGACACAAAGATAGGGAGGAAAGTGAGTTGTGAAGTGGGCATAATGATAGCAGGCAATCTGGAAAGAGAAGAAAATGTTACGTTTTATTGCGAGGGTTATTAAATGTAAGTGTAGGGAGATTCTGCTTCAGTTATAAAAAACAAAGAAAATTACAGCATAGGAACAGGCCCTTCGGCCCTCCAAGCCTGCGCCGATCCAGATCCTCTATCTAAACCTGTCACCTATTTTCCAAGGATCTATATCCCTCTGCTCCCTGCCCATTCATGTATCTGTCTAGATACATCTTAAATGACACTATTGTGCCTGCCTCTACCACCTCCACTGGCAACGCGTTCCAGGCACCCACCACTCTCTGTGTAAAGAACTTTCCACGCATATCTCCTTTAAAAATTTCCCCTCTCACCTTGAAATCGTGACCCCTAGTAATTGAGTCCCCCACTCTGGGGGAAAGCTTCTTGCTATCCACCCTGTCTATACGTCTCACGATTTTGTAGACCTCAATCAGGTCCCCCCTCAACCTCTGTCTTTCTAATGTAAATAATCATAATCTACTCAACCTCTCTTCATAGCTAGCGCCCTCCATACCAGGCAACATCCTGGTGAACCTCCTCTGCACCATCTACTAAGCATCCACATGCTTTTGGTAATGTGGCGACCAGAACTGCACGCAGTATTCCAAATGTGGTCGAACCAAAGTCCTATACAACTGTAACATGACCTGCCAACTCTTGTACTCAATACCCTGCCAACTCTTGTACTCAATACCCCGTCCGATGAATGAAAGCATGCCGTATGCCTTCTTGACCAGTCTATTCACCTGCGTTGCCACCTTCAGGGTACAACGGACCTGAACACCCAGATGTCTCTGTGCATCAATTTTCCCCAGGGCTTTTCCATTTACCACATAGTTCGCTCTTGAATTGGATCTTCCAAATTGCACCACCTCACATTTGCCTGGATTGAACTCCATCTGCCATTTCTCCACACAACTCTCCAATCTATCTATAATCTGCTGCATTCTCTGACAGTCCCCTTCACTATCTGCTACTCCACCAATCTTAGTGTCATCTGCAAACTTGCTAATCAGACCATCTATACCTTCCTCCAGATCATTTATGTATATCACAAACAACAGTGGTCCCAACACAGATCCCTGTGGAACACCACTGGTCACAGTTCTCCATTTTGAGAAACTCCCTTCCACTACAACTCTGTCTCCTGTTGCCCAGCCAGTTCTCTATCCATCTAGCTAGTACACCCTGGACCCCATGCGACTTCACTTTCTCCATCAGCCTACCATGGGGAACCTTATCAAACGCCTTACTTAAGTCCATGTATATGACATCTACAGCCCTTCCCTCATCTATCAACTTTGTCACTTCCTCAAAGAATTCTATCAAGTTGTTAAGACATGACCTTCCCTGCACAAAACCATGCTGCCTATCACTAATAAGCCCATTTTCTTCCAAATGTAAATAGATCCTATCCCTCAGTATCTTCTCCAGCAGCTTCCCCACCACTGACATCAGGCTCACCGGTCTAGAATTACCTGATTATCCTTGCTACCTTTCTTAAACAAGGGGACAACATTAGCAATTCTCCAGTCCTCCGGGACCTCGCCCGCGCTCAAGGATGCTGCAAAGATATCTGTTAAGGCCCCAGCTATTTCCTCTCTTGCTTCCCTCAGTAACCTGGGATAGATCCCATCCAGATCTGGGGAGTTATATAGTGCATTGGTGAGACTGCACTCCAGTGCTGTGTAAAAATGGTCACAATACTTTGGACAGATGTTAGTTTGTTGCCAACAGTTCAGTGAAGGTTTATCAGACTGATGCCTGAAATGAGTAGATTGTTCTGAGGAAAGGCCAGAGGGGCTTAAGGCTTGTATCCCCTGGAGTTATAAAGATTCAGAGGTGCCTTAATTGAAATATACAAGATTCTGAGGAGACTTGACCATGTGATATTGAAAGATTGTTTCCTCTTGTGGGAGAATCTAGAACTGGGGTCACAGTTTAAAGATAAGGGGTCGCCCATTAAAAACTGAGGTCAGGAAACTATTTTTTCTCTCAGAGGGTTGAGTGTATTTGGAATTCCCTTTTTCAAAAGGCAATGGATGCAGAACCTTTAAATATTTTTAACGCACAGGTGGATACGTTCTTGATTACCAAGGGGATGAAATATTATCAGGGATGTGCAGGAATATAGAATTTAGGTCAAAATCAGATCAGCTATGATCTTTCTGAATGGCAGTGTGAAGGGCTGAGTGGCCTATTCTTGTTCTTTCTTCACACGTTCATACGTTAGATGTTGGGAGTTCTATCTGAAATACCATTCTACAGGCTAATGTACATTGTTATAGACTGACTATCCAACAGAAAGATGTTCAATATTTTCAGCAGGGTTTATGATTGTTTAGTTGCATGGTTTACAATGGACTTAGGAGCTCCAGGTGCATTTGACAGATTATCCTTGACATCAATAATTGGGGCAGGACTGGCAGCAGCAATATTATGTGGAGTGGATTTGAGATCAACATTCCCTGCCCCAGTTCCTGGGCTTGGAAAAGGTTACCAAAGATACCAAGGAGACCAATTTCCCATAGATATCAGTCTATGTATTCAACCAAATTAAAGGGAGTCAAAGTTATAATTTGGCAGTTTACATACTCATTCTTATGCTGACACTCTTTACGCCACATATTTCATCAGGTTAGAATCTACAAAGAAAACCTATTCAATAATAGGTTCTGCAGAGTTCAGGACACAACTATTTCAGATTTTGTCAGATTAGATACCTGGGTGGCAACACAGTAGGGGATCCTTTAAAAGCACTTTTGAATAAAAGATCTTGAAGAGAATGTTCTTCTTGCACCTTTTTACGAATTGTTTGAAGTGTTCTAAAGAAAAAACAGGGAAAACAATGTACTCAGAAATCACTTCCATACCTACTGGTGACAACCCACTTTTTATTTTAAACAAGACATCGACAAAGAACCAACTAAATTCATCTGTTAATAGTTTTATTGTTCAGTAATTAATCTAATTAAATTAGATTCTAGTTCCCAAAATAGGGTGGAATATTCTATAATAAAGTTCACTGATATAAATGGCATCAGTTAGTAATTAACATAATAATCTGACCCTTCCCACTTGGTGAACTGTTAATCTGATGAAGTTATCATGGTGAACTGATAGCATTGTATGCATGAGTAATCAGGTTTGACAAGATAACTTATGCTAAATTCTCCATTGGATGTTACAGTCTACCCATTTTTCTGAAATGAACTGTCAGGTGAACTGTCAATCAGAATTGTCATTCTGATGAAAGTGCTTCCAATAAGGGAGAAAACAAAATGAAAAAGCAACGGATGTTGTCTCATAACTACACAAGATAGACAGGACAGTGAAGGTGGCGTTGGTATGCTTGCCTTTATAGGTTAGTGTATTGAGTAGAGGAGTTGGGAGGTCATGTTGCAGCTATACAGGACATTGGTTAGGCCACTTTTGGAATACTGCATGAAATTCCGGTCTCCCTGCTTTAGGAAGAATGTTGTGAAACTTGAAAGGGTTCAGAAAAGATTTATAAGGATGTTGCCAGGATTGGACGGTTTGAGCTGTAGGGAGAGGCTGAATAGACTGGGGCTATTTTCCCAGCATCGTCGTAGGCTGAGGGGTGATTTTATAGAGGTTTATAACATCATGTGGGACATAGATAGGGTGAATAGTCAAGGTCTTTTCCCTGGCGTCGGGGAGTCCAAAACTGGAGGGAATAGGTTTAAAGGTGAGAGGGGCAAGATTTAAAAGGGACCTGAGGGGCAAGATTTAAAAGGGACCTAAGGGGCAACCTTTTCATGCAGAGAGTAATGCATGTATGGAATGAGCTGCCAGAGGAAGTAGTGGAGGCTGGTACAATTACAACATTTAAAATGGTATCTGGATAGGCCAAATGCAAATGGGACCAGATTAATTTAGGATATCTGGTCGGCATGGATGAGTTGTTTACATGCTGTACAGCTCTGACCCAGTTATAAACAGCTATTGACAAGACTTTTCAAAGAGGTTTGACTGCTTACAAGATGGTTTAAGTGAGAATCATACCCCATCAATTTATGGCAAGGCAAAAGCAGGCAGCTCTGATTAAGTCTGATATAAACTTGAAGGTATATTCTGGACTGGGATTGGAGATGTGCTGGGTGCTGTAATAAAAGGGAGCTTAGCACATATTCCAATGTTTTCTTTGTGGCAAATAAAATTGTAATGACCATCGTAACAGCAAGCATATAGCCATGTGATGCACACAGAAATAAATGAGTGTAAAAGTGGATTTTCATTTTAAAATTATACTGGAAATGTCCAGACATTTAACTCAAAAATTGCAGAGATCTAAAATCAAGGTTATGACGTGCAAAAGAAATCTAGATCACACTTTATACGTTTTAAGTTACAAGAAGTTTTAGGAATTAACTGTAAAAACTTGAGGACATCTGATCAAGAGATTAATAAGAAACCTTGAAGTAAATAAAATTCAAAACAAGCCTGGCATTCATTATAGTAGAAAGATGACATGTTTGTACTGCAAGCTCTCAGTTAATAATGGAAAAATAGTAGCAAGTGATCAGTTATATTCAACTATTATTCCTTTGGACAACAGAATCAAAGAGATGTGTTGAAGGAAAAATAATTAGTTTAAATTTCTGCTTGAATCATCGGAAAACATGCCATATTGCCACAGAGATATTGATTCAAAGTGGAGCCTTTGCTGGAATGCTCTTTTGTTCAAGTTATCTTTGTATGTTTGTTGACAGAAGCAACGAGCTCAGTTTGAGAAGAGTCAGACACAGTTGCAGATTTAGCTATGTGTGGGCTGTAACTCAGAGTGAGGATTGCCAACACAAAATGATTGTTATTAGTTAGGCCTGCATTTCAAGCAAAGAAAATACTAACTTCATGATTCAGCATCTGAAATGCCAGTGGAGATTTGTCTCAATTTGACAGAAAAGCAGCTGGAAAATCTTTTTCCAGCTTGTAGCTAGTGGAAGATATCTACAATGGCTCTGACAGAGTCTTGTTGAAGAAAGGAGAGTCAGTTTGGGAAGTTGTGGGAAGACAGTTATGTATCTGCCAACAATAAGGTCAATGAGTTGAAGAATCTAGTCTATAAGTAGAATTTGGAGTGTTGTATCGCCAAAAGGCTAATTGAATAAACAGAGCAGAAATCAAAGTGACTTCAGACATACCTTTGGGTTGGTTACAAGAAAGATGAACGAACTTTCAGGTTTTGTAAGACAAGTGAATTATTTGCTGGGGTGTGGGAAGTCGACTATAAATTGTGCAACAATTATTTTACATCAAATTAAACACAATGAATAGATATTGGAAGTCTATTAGAATGCAGATGTTGTCTTAAAAAATGAAACCGCACAATAGCTGGAATGGTCGAATAAGAAAATTCGTATTTTTAAATATTTTTAACTAGTAAATTAAAGGTATTTGAATAGATTCACTTCTTTTGGGAGCCAAGACCCAGGGAGGGACAAACAGGACGGAGCTTGTAGCACAAGTTGTTATAAAACATAGTGTCAAGGTAGTTGCATTGTTGTTTGATTTCTTGCTTTACAAAATAAAATTTGCTTCTGATTAAAAATAATGTGAAACCTTGTGGTACAGTTTGTCAGTTAATGTCACCTTGGGGTGCTCAGACTTCTTCAAATTTTAACAGTCCGTCACAAGATCATTAAAAAGTGTGCAACCTGGAACAGCAACAATGGAGCAAGAGCTCTCAATCATATATTGAAATCACTAGCTGTGAAGAAAAGAGATTTTAAGATATCTATTGCTATGGATTGAAGAGTAACAATAAATATATCCTAGGTAGGCCTGTTGAGTTCAAATACTTAATAAAAACCTACAATCCTCAACTACAGCATCAAACTGCCTGTTAAATGTCTTCAGTGGTTTTGCTTCCACTGTCTTAGTCGTAAATATTACCAGTCTCTACCAATGTGCTCTTTTGACCTGTAGTCATGATTTGATCCTCTCTATTGAAACCTTTATAACTCCATAAAATTGTTTTCTGTCTTTCAAAGACAAAAGGATTAAGATTTCCGTGCTTTTCCTTATAACTAAGTCCCAACATTCCTGGCAAGATGTACCTGGCCACGCACTGGGAAAGCAAAACCCGTGCATGCCCCATGATCATTCGTGCACTGGATGGTCACTACTAAATGGCCAATGAAGGATTTCTCCCCAGACCTCCATGCTAGACATTCCCAACAGTTACGTACAGATGGCCCATGAATCCCAGGACCCTCCATGCGCCAGAACAAAGCCCATACCATCAGAACTCAGCCATATGACTACTTCCAGCTCCAGACAAACTGTAAAAACTTGCAACTGCCGAATCGGGCTCTTGAAAGGTTAAGACGACAGGTCACATCACCTCCAGTTGGGAAGTTGAGTCGAAAGCTATAGGAATATGGTTGGGGAGTCGTGGAAAATTTAGTCTTTTCAGCAAGGGGCTAGAGGATCAGGCATCAGATCCAGGAAGCAGTCTGCTATTCCAGAAGGAAGCAACACATGATACAAGTAGGAAATTACATTTCTCACTCATATTTTAAAGTTTTGCTTTCTTGATAAGTTTAAAATATGTTCAAAAGAAAAACAAATAAGTTTTCAAAAAATAAATCCTGTGCACATTGCAGAAGAGACAAGGTGAGGCCATCAAAATTTAAAAGTGAAATGGATGATCCTAAAATGATCGAAGTTCTCACTAATAATCTTATACGCTGTAAAGATAAATGCATCCAGGTGTTATGTGCAAAACATTAATGATCATGTGGCAAAGTACACAGAAGTTACTGAGAGCTGGAGCAGCAAGAATTATGCCTTCAAATGTGTGGAGTGTATTGGCTTCGTCATACAGATGTTCCTGGATGAACTGTGCAAATTGAGTTTTTGAATACTGATAGTAAACGTGTACAGGCAGCTTAGTGCCGACTATGTTCATTTTGTATGTCAAATTTTGACCAGGTTCTGAACTTGCTTACAAGACTTTGTCTTTGCAGGAATCTTGAAGCTAACTGCATGCAACAGTGCCTCCATTGTGACAGCAACCAAGCAATTTCATGCCGACAATGACTTTGAATTACCGAAGACGGTGACACGTACGTCAGATGGAGCTTCTGTATGCTGGGAAAGAAAAATGGAATAGCACAACCTTGTGACATGAAATCAAACATTGTCGGAACAGCGCTGTGTTGCTCACAGATATCTGGGAATGGATGATGATTGGATGCAGATGTCAATTGTGCAAGATATTAAAACGCCTCTAAGGATAGTGTGTACAATGTCCAACAAATCAACTGTTAAAAAGGTTTTTCAAAGCTGATACAGTGGCATTTGAACTTCTGAATGAAGAGAGATGCCTGTCAAGACACTTCAAGTACTGCACACAATCCAATAAATGTAACAATCCAATAAACAAATACTGCCTGAAAATGCGCGCAGACCTACAATATCGCCTTGCATTGACAGCTGCGCATGATGTTCTTGAACTGCATCACTGTGCAAATTCTTCCAAAGAAGATATTTGACAACAATTAAAGCAATGCAATTCGCAAAGGCCAAGATCAATAAACTAAAGTCTCAGCATTTATGTGAGCATGTTTATTGAAATTACAAAGTTAAGCATGTTCTGATTGCTCTCAATAGTAACAGTGCTGCAATTCTTCAATTTATTCAATTGCTATGTGACCATCTAGAAAGCTGATATCCAGAGAAGAAATTACGAGAGTGGCAAGCATTTGATCAGGATGCAGTTGCCAAGACAATGGATTAAAAATTTGGAAAAGACAGCATTATGCGACTGATATCAAAATATTCCATTTTTGTACCAAACTATAACGAAAGTTTGGCCATAAAGATACATTAGGAATATTCAAATTTATGGTTGTGGGGAAAAAGTCAAGTGATTTCAAGTTTGATTCCATTGAAGCATTCAGTGATTTTGTGGACCATGCTCCAAGAGATGGCCAGTTTCAAGAAACGTCCAATCTTCTGGACATTTGTGCAACATTTCAGTCAAGTGCTGTCTGTGAGTGTGGATTTAGCTTCATGAACTTGACTAAGTGTAAATCCAAAAACAGATCATAGGGTCAGCACAGCATGGAAACAGACCCTTCAGTCCAACTTGTCTGCACCAACCAGACATCCCAACCTGCCCTAGTCCCATTTGCCAGCACTTGGCCCATATTCCTCTAAACCCTTTCCATTCATATACCCATCTAGATGCCTATTAATAGATGTAATTATACTGATCTCCACCACTTCCTCTGGCAGCTCGTTCCATACACACACCACCTTCTATGGTGAAAAAGTTACTCCTCAGGTCCCTTTTAAATCTTTTCCGCTTTCACCTTAAACCTACGCACTCTAGTTTTGGACTCCCCCACCCTAGGAAAAGGACTTTAGTTATTCACCCTATCCAATACTCCTCACGATTTTATAAAGTTCTATAAGGTCACCCCTCAGCCTCCAATGTTCCAGGGAGAAAAGACCCAGCCTATTCAGCCTCTCCCTATAACTCAAACCCTCCAATCCCAGCAACATCCTGGTAAATCTTTTCTGCACCCTCTCAAGTTTAACAACATCCTTCCTATAGAAGGGCAACGGGAATTGTACACAGTATTCTATAAGTGGCCTCACCAAAGCCCTGTACAGCTGCAACATGACATCTCAACTCCGATACTCAACGTTCTGACCAATGAAGGCGAATGTGTCAAACGTCTTTTTCACTACTGTCCACTTGGAACTCCACTTTCAAGGAACAATGCACCTGCACCTGTAGGTCAATTGGACAACTTGATGCAAATAAGTTGTATATTTCACCTGAACAAAAGATCAACCTGAATGCTGCGTCCAAACATTGGGCAATGAACAAAGATAGGAGCAAAAAGTTGCCAAAGGAGTGAATACATTACTAATGTTCTCTTTTGGTCATGTAACATATGTCGTGTATATAGTGTCGATACTAAATGGGACTGCAGACATCCGAGCTGAACAAATAATTTTGTTTATTTTAGCAGGTAAAATACCTGCAGCTGTAAAATAATGTAAATGCACACCTTTAATAGTGAACACTGTGAAAAGAATCACTGTATGCAGGTAGAATGTCTGTAACTATAAAATAATACAAATGCGTACTTTTAATAGTTAGAAACAAACTGCAAAAAAATTGCAATATTTCTGCTCAGTGGATATAATATGCCACTCAGACTACTGTGGGTTCTTAACAAGCCCGAGGAAAATTAGAGGGAGCACTAATAGGGACAGGATTAAACATGGTGAAATAATCCACTGACATTCATGAGCCAGATCTTGGTACTTGAAGAACAATACTTGAGCATTCCTCTAATTATTTTGATCTGAATAAAAACAAAAGGGCACATTGATTTTCACAGTAAAGTTTTGCTTACACCAACGTAAATTTAGCCTTTATTAAAAGTTCAGAGATTTGAAGTATAAGGCTGTGGCTTGCTTATTATTGACCCATTACTATGTACTGATTTGGAGCTATTTAAATTGTCATAAGAATGATTACAAAATTGTCAAAGAATCTGAGCCATTTGTTAGCATTACAATTATGAAAGAAATTGCTCTATTTGTACACATATCTCTTATATTGTTAATGCAGCTAGGAATGTTACTTTCAAGTACAACTATGTCAGATAAGGAAATTTTTAGAATCTGTATATCTTACCTTTGCCACATTCTTTGACGTGAAGATAATTCAAAAACAGTCTACAATATTTTTTAAAAGAAAAACATAAAGCTGTCAATTATTTAGGTCTTCATAAAAGATGAGAAGTCTGAAATTCATAGACAAAGAATTTTTTGAAAGGTATTTCTTAAAGATTGCACAAAATAATTCCGATAATTGAGCCAGGATGAAAATAAAATTGATGCCACATGGAGTGAAAGTGCCTGTAACTTGGGTATACATAACAACAGACATTCTCCCAACAAAAAGGGTTGTAAATTGTAGTGTATATCGCCTGTCAAACAGCCCGACTGCAGTTTTGCCAAAAGCTTAGGTGAAAGTCAAATGTTCAAATTCTCAACTGAGGAACGAGTGTGCATCATTGTTTCAGGCTGCTTCCAAACAGCTTACACGGGTTCGTCGACACTAAGCTATTCTTGCATACCTAGGATACTTAAGATATTGTGTAATATGGGTACACATATGAATGAAAAAAAAAATACACTGACTACGTAGATATTATTACAACTGCATCCAAGAGAAAATCTAAGGAAAGAGCCTTAAAAGCAATGTGGCCAAAACACATTCATCTCTCTGCTATCTGAAGAGCAACTTTAAATAACTATACATACTGGTTCATATTTTAGCCCTTCTGAAGCTGCCACCATTGTTTCAGCTAAGTCTAGGACATCTGCGCCAATATCTGTTTAAAAACAAAGGTATTATTTTAGTTATGGTTGACAAAATGTCATGTTTAATCAAAAATACAACAAGCTTAATGAGACAGCTGAAGCAGGACGTTTCAATGTATCTGATGTCCTGAATACTGCAGCTTTGTCTGTACATTGTTAAAAGGCTGTAATGCTCACTTTTGATAACTTAAAGTTTAGAACTAGGAGTTGACTTTTACATTTTCGTTTAGGACCTCAGTATCAGAGTCGAATATTGTTCATGACCCCAGTGTTGGGAGGAAATACTGACATAGATTTTGCACACACACAGGCCGATTAGCAGCATGCTTACTGCCCAATTATAGATGATGGGTGGACTCTAGAAACTGGAGGGCCCCATGGAACAAGCTGCAACCTGCCATTACAGGTGACAGGGAGAAGGGATGGGGTATTTCCATCTTGAGGCACCCTTTCAGCATTTACAAGTTATGAAAAATTGACACACACTCCATAATGGAGGCCTGACAATCAAAGCTCTGGCTAGGAAATGGGAAAGCGGTGAAGGAAGAGGGAGGGTAGCCTTGAAGCCTTTCTGGAGCACTAACTTCCTCCAGTCTGCCACTGGGAGGCAACTCCAGTCAGCTATTCTTGCTGCGGAGGCTTGGAAAATTCCAGTTAGTCTCTGAACAATGGACTTAATTGGCCTGTTGACCTGTTAAGTTACCACAAATGGCTATTCATTACTTTCAGGTGGACTGCCGATGCAAACTTTCCTAAAACAACTTGACTACAGGAACGACACCAGCAAACCAGCCTCCAGTCGATCACTGATGTACATTAGCAAGAGCAAGGGCCTTATTTCTGAGTTCTGGGGAAAATCAATGTAAATATTCCTCCAGTCTGAAAAGAAAGAGCCATTTCCCAAAATTCTTTTCTAACCCTGAATCAATTTTGTTTCAATTTTCCCATAAGCCCAATATATCATACTTCATTAAATGCCTTTTGGAAGTCTATACATACAACACCAACTGTACTGCCCCCATTGCATCCCCTTTGTTTAAGTTTCTGCGTGAAGTAACAAGTTAGTGAGGTATTATTTGCGTTCAACAAACCGGTGTTGGATTTTCCTTATTAGTTTACCCAAGCCGAAAATTTTGTCAATTTTCTTTGGTGCGTGTATGGAATGAGCTGCTAGAGGAAGTGGAGGAGGCTGGAACACTTTTCCATCTGCCCCATATTACTTGACTCCCTTGTCAATCAAGAAACATTCTACTCTGTCTTCAATATATTCAATGATTTAGCCTTCTCTGCTGTTTGAGGTAGTGAATTTCACAGACTGACAACACTTAAAGATAACGTCATCTTCATCTTAAATGAGAAAGATCTTACTGTAAACTGTGTCCTCTATTTCTAGCCTTGCCCAGAAGTGAAAACCTGCTACCAGGCATAATCTTGTAAGATCCTAAGGGGACATGACATGTTTCAAAGCTTTTCCAAAGTTCAATTGACATTGATACAAACTGTTCAATATTTCCTCATAATGTTTCACTCCAGAAATCAAGTGACTATCACTCCCCCTCCTCCCCATTACTACTAATACTTGTACAGAAGGTCTTTGGAGTCCCTTTTAACATTGACTGGAAAAATATTAGATGGGGCTCCAATCATGTAGGGTGCTTTATTCTAGATAGTGTCAAGGTTCTTGAATGTTGTTGCAGCTGTACTCATCCAGGCCCTTGTCAACCTCTGTGCTTCCTCCAAACGGTGTTCAATGTGGTGAGGACTGATTCATCAGCTTAATGAGAGGCTATAGGTTGTAATTAAATAGGAGGTTTCCTTGCCCATGTGTGACCCGATGCCATGAGACTTCATGAAATCCAGAGTCAATGTTAAAGACTGCCAGGGCAACTCCAGTCCCAGTGGGCTTGACAGACTCGGGAATGGTAACAATGGTATTTGCAAGAAATGTTTCTGGGAGAACAACAGTGTCACTCTGTTGCTTGATTATCAGTGGGACAATACACCAAATTTTGGCACAAGTGCTAGATGGAAGTGCAGTGGACTTTGCAGAGTCAACAAGAGCTGTATGCTACTGTAAATGCCAAGTGGCCTGTCCAGTTTCATTCCTTTTATCAGACTTTCTGGCAGTTAAATACAACTGACTGGTTTGTTAGGCTATTTTCAGAGGGCACTTAAAAGACAACCATATTGCAGTGGATCTCAAGTCATTTGCAGGCGAGAAGAGGATGGTTAATCTTCCTTCCTTAAAACAAATTAGTGCACCAGGATTTTTAATTAAATGACAATCAACAACATTTTCATGGACATCCTTAAACCAGCTTTTTCTTTCAATTCCAGTTTGTTTCATCAATGTAATTCAAATTCCTCCATCTCTCATGCTGACGAAAGTTCACCCGAACCGAAACGTTAATTCTGATTTCTCTTCACAGATGCTGCCAGAACTGCTGAGCTTTTCCAGCAACTTCTGTTTTTGTTAGTAGGAAAAATACCACTGCACCACTGCCTCTCCCTATTCTCTTTTACTTCAAACCATCCAGGATGCTCTGGCTTTGAGGCCCCTACTTTCCTACTTTAACATTGCACACAAGTTGTCTTCTCTTTAAAGATCAACCAATTCTCTTACAATTCTGCATCTCAGCATCTCATTGAAAATCACCAGATCTGTCAATTTGCTGAAATTAGTCCTCCCTTCAATTAAATACTTTTATTCTTGGCTGCCTCTTGCTTTTCTGCATTACTAATCTAAATCCTAAGATTAAGATCACTATTTTGGAGATGCTCCTCCAATTGATCCAAGGCAGGTGGAGCTGATGAATGAAAAAGAGGTGGCAGTTTGTTAAACTACTTGTCTTATCATTCTTCCTTAGATCAGTGTGCACTATCTGTAAGATACACTGCAAAACCTGCCATGAGTTCTTCAACAGTAGCATCAAAACACATTTTGCTACCAAGAAGGAAACTAGCACCAGGCACCTGGGAACAACATCATATGATAACGATGAAACCAAGGGATGCAAGTCATAGAAATATTGACAATGGTAAGTACTTACAATGACATTTCATTGAAACTGTAATATCTAAATTGATTCGCAGTTTGCTGCAAGATAAAAGAAGAATTTGGAATTATTGCTTCAATAAAATTGTTGTCATTTTCAAAAATTAACTAACTTTTGGGGACCTTTTCTCTTAAAAAAAAACTTGAGCAATGCTTTAGAAGATATAGAAGTATAAATTAATAATTTTGAATTTCTAAGAGTGGAATGATATATGGTTGCCATTTCCAAAAATACTGACTGACATAACTACAAAGTATTGAATTGGTCATATAGTCAGCAGGGGTCATACTTCAAAAAGGAAAGCAGAATCCAGCACTGTAAACATTCAATTCACATTTGATTTCTTAGCCTGCCCCAGAATCTTGTTTTAGAAAAGGTTGATTCCCACATCAGTTCTGAACTTATTTTCCATAGTTTCTAACCACTCAACTCCAATGACACCATCCTCCTGCCTCCTTAGTCACTTTGGGCTTAGTCTGCATCTCACTCAAGCTCTCTCAAACCCACCCTCTCTCGTTCAAGACCTGCAGAATATTCAACACACTGCAGATTGCTGCTATTCTACAGGAGGATTGAAAACCTAAAATGCATGCATATGGTCACCATTAGCAGGAAGTGATTTTCTAAAAGCAGATTATCTCCAAAAGCCAAAAGTCAAAATTATTTTTTGCAGTTTTTGTAATTTTACAAATCTTTTGATTTGTTGATCAATTCCCACCCTGGGTCATGGAGTCAGTAAGGACTGCAAATGCTGCAAGCTAGAGTCAATAAATGTGGGGCTGGAAAAGCACAGATCAGACAGTATCCGAGGAGCAGGAAAGTCAACGTTTCAGGCCAAAACCCTTCATTAAGAGTCCTGATGAAGGGTTTTGCCCAAAATGTTGACTTTCCTGCTCTTTGGATGTTGCCTGATCTGCTGTGCTTTTCCAGCTCCACATTTATTGACCCCACCCTGAGTCATCTGTGTGGTCACTTAAAATTTGCACTCCTCAGTACTAGGGCTGTAAAAAGAAACCACAGAAAAATTGACTAATTCCAGATATGTCTCCTGTGGAGTCACTGACCTCTTTCAGTACAGTTATTGGAAAATGGAACACATAAAAGTTCTCAAAAATAAACAAGTCAAATAGTCACCTGGCAAAGTCTTTGTCTACTTCATAATCATACTTCATCCATGTGTCACAATACACAAAAAATTCCATAACAGACAATAGAGCAATGGTGGTAAAGGCAATTATAGAAACTGTAAAGAAATAATTATCGCAGTTAATACATGTTAAGAATTAACATACGATGATATTCAATGTAAAATTAAATATGCTAGTTAGGATTCCAAACTGAAAGCACCTGTTCCACCACTTGTGGAAGTCTCAATATAACTTTCAGGAATCTTTGGGAAGGCATCAAGCTCCTTCACTAAATTCAATGCTCTCTTCTTATTTAATCGCCTCATCTTCAGATATACATTCAGGAGCCTTCACTTTCAGCTTCATAAATTCGATCTGCAAACATGTTAAATTTCATTAGTACAGGCTGAAAATAAGGCAATAACGCCAAAAATGTTATGTAAAACTGCAAAATAAAAAAGCTACGCAAAACTACTTCAATAGAATAAAAAGTGAGTTTCCCTGCACAGAAATACTGCATAGCATTTTAAATTTTACATAGTCTATAATTTATTAGCTTGGATATTGCAATAGCTTCATGATCATTACCATCACCTTTCACTGTCAGTTAATTCATGGTTCCAGCTAGGTGCACTACTGATGATCCCCCATTGAAGGCAATCAAGTAGAAAACATTACACATTGTTGAATGAAGTGTAACTAGGCTTTTATGGTATACTAAGTTCATAATTTTAAACAGCAACACTGCCCTGAAAAACAAATTTTCATTTTTTAACATAGCAAATTTCTCCAGGACTAAAAAAAGGAAATTATTTTTAAAATTTAAGATAGTTCAGCTTCTACTCTAATCCATGTGCATAATCCCAATCATTTATTTTGCTCTCTGTAAAATCTATTAAAAATGAATAATAATCAGTGTATTTTATTGCCTGGTTTCTTGTCTATGTGAATACTTTAATCTGACTGGCTCTGTTACTACCACAGTCAAAGGGGTGAATAAATTCCTCTCTTTTCTTTCCTGAACTTGGAATAACAGTTCTGAATTTTTAAACAGATATTCTTTTCTCCAATTCAATGTGTAGTTGGACATGTATTAGAGTTAAGAGACAGGTTCTACCTCTTGAAAATTCTACTCATTCCTTCCACTATTTTCATTTTCTTCTTGATCCTGTTTCAACCGTTCCATTTTTTGGTTCTTTGATCCTGGATTCCATCCAGATGCCCAAACTTTGCTGCTCTGGACTACCTACTGCACTCCTAGAGTTGCCCTCTATCTTTCCATTCTATCCTGAAATTCCACTTCTTTTTCTGCCACTTGCAGTGAGTTCCAGGGTACTATACTGAAATATATGCTTTGACTTTCGTGAGCAACTGCCAGAATACTCGTTTCCACCGTAGCGCACTACTCCTCTCCACCACTGCCTGCCAGTTATGCTCATTGCTCTGCACCCTCGTCCTGTCATCAATCAGTGGCTAGATTTTCAGGCTACAACAGGCTTCTGAAGACTGTCAAAGAACAACCAAGGACAGGCTCTTTGGCTCACCTAGCCTGTGCCAACACATGACACCTTTCTAAACCAAAAAACATTTGCCTCTGCATGGTTTTTATCCCTCTATTCCTTGCCTATTCATATATTTGTCAAGATGCCTCTTAAATGTTGTGATTGTATCTGCCTCTACCATGTCCTCTGGCAGCACACTCCAAGCACTTACCACCTTCTGTGTAAATAACTTGTGTCACATCATCTTTAAATTTATCCCCTGTTACCTTAAACCTATATCCAATATTAACTGACTATTCTACCCTGGGGAAAAATAATTAAAATGGAATCTTGATTAGATGGGGCAATGGGCTGAGGAGTGGCAGATGGAGTTTAATTTATATAAATGTGAGTTGCAGCATTTTGGAAAGGCAAAACAGGGCAGGATTTATACACTTAATGGTAAGGTCCTGGGGGAGTGCTGCTGAACAAAGAGATCTTGGGGTGCAGGTTCATAGTTCCTTGAAAGTGGAGTCGTAGGTAGATAGGATAGTGAAGGCGGTGTCTGGTATGCTTGCCTTTATTGGCATGGAGTAAAGGAGTTGGGAGGTCATCCTGTGGCCATACAGGACATTGGTTAGGCTGCTTCTGGAAGACTGCATTCAATTCTGGTCTCCCTCCTATAGGAAGAATGTTGTGAAACTTGAAAGGGTTCAGAAAAGATTTACAAGGATGTTGCCAGGGTTTGAACTTAGAGGCTGAATAGGCTGGGGCTATTTTCCCTAGAGCATCAGAGGCTAAGGGGTGACCTTTTAGAGGTTAATAAAATCATGAGGAGCACAGATAGGGTGAACAGCCAAGGTCTTTTCCCCAGGGTAGCAGAGTCCAAAACCAGAAGGCATAGGTTTAAGGAGAGGGGGAAAAGATTTGAAAAGGGATCTAAGGGGCTACTTTTTCACGCAGAGTGTGGTGAGTGTATGTAATGAACTGTCAGAGGAAGTGGTGGAGGCTGATATAATTACAACATTTAAAAGGCATCTGGATGGGTATATGAATAGCAGGGTTGAGAGAGATTTGGGCCAAATACTGGCAAATGGGACTAGATTTATTTAGGATATCTGGTCAGCATGGACGAGTTGAAGCAAAGGGTCTGTTTCTGTGCTCTATGACAATCTTTGTCACTTCCTCAAAAAACTCAACCAAGTTTGAGACACACAAAGCTAGGCTGCCTATTCCTAATAAGTCCAGATTTTTCCAAATGTGACTAATTCCTACCCCTAAGAATCGTCTCCAATAATTTCCCTACCACTGACATAAGGCACACTGGCCTACTATTGCCTTTCTTAAAAAAATGAACTATGTTGACTATTCTCTCGTCCTCTGGGACCTCTCCTGTGACTAATGAAGATACAAAGATTTTGTACAAGGCCCAGCCATTTCCTCATCTGGCTCCCTTGGCATCCTGGGACAGATCCCATCAGGTCCTGGGGACTTGTCTACCTGAATGCTTTTTAAAAACATCCAACACATTTTTAACATTGACATGCCCCAGAATATCAACTTGTCTCCCAAGACGCACCATTCACCACGACCTTCTCCTTTGTAAATACTCATGCAAAATATTCGTTAAGGACCTCACCCACTTCCTCTTGCGCCACACAAATTCCCTCCACTGTCCTTGAGAGGACTACCCTTTACCTAACTATCCTCTTGCTCCTTATACATGTACAAAATACCTTGCGATTTTCCTTAATCCTGTTTGCCAAAGACATTTCATGGCTCCTTTTAACTTTCCTAATCCTTGTATGAGTTCTTTCCCGCTATCTTAATATTCTTTGAGAGCTTTGTCTTCAGTTTCATAAACGTTATGTATTTTTCTTTGACTAAGCTCTCAATTTCTCTTGTCATTCAAGGTTCCCAAATCTTGCTATTCTTATCCTTCATTTTCATAGGAACCTGCTGCTCCTGAACGCTAATCAACTGGCCTTTAAAAGATTCCTACATGTCAGATGAGAATTTACCCTCAAACAGCCACTCCTAATCCAAATTTCCCAGCTTCTGCCCAATATTGTGGTAGCTAGCCCTCCACCAATTTACAATTTTCACCCAAGGATTACCCTTATCCTTATCCATAAGTAATTTAAAACTTACAGAATTATGGATACTGTTCCTGAAAAGTTCCCGAACTAAAATTTAATCATCTGGCTGGACTCATTCCCCAATACCAGGTCTAGTATGGCCCCTTCGCTCGTTAGACTATTTACATACGGTTTCAAAAAACCATCCTCGACACACCTAACAAATTCTCCCCATCCAAGTCCCTGACATTAAGCAAGTCCCCGTCAGTATAGGGGAAGTTAAAATCATCCATCATAACAATCCTATTGTTTTTACAATTTTCCATAATCTGTCCACCTATCCGTTCCTCTATCACCCATTGGCTATTGGGTGGCCTGTAGTACAATCCCAAAGTGACCACACTCTTCCTATTCCTGAGCTCTACCCTTATGGCCTCCCTGAATGTGCTCTCCAAGGTGGCCTCCCTCACTACAGCTTTAATATATTCTCCCTCATCAATAATGCAACTCCCCTACCTCTTTTACATCCCTCTCTATCATGCCTGAAACATATAAATCCTGGAACGTTAAGCTGCCAGTCTTGTCCCTTTCTCAACCAAGTCTCTGTAATAGCTAAAACATGAAAAACACTGATTACTTCCAGTGCCACGTGCTAGTGAGGGTAAGAACTGGAGGATATGGCAGACAAATGTGTGGCTAAACAACTGGCACAGGGATTCAGATTCTTAGATCATTGGGATCTTTTCTGGGGCAGAGGTGATCTGTTCAAGATGGACAGGTTGCACCTGAACTGGAGAGGGAACCAATATCCTGGTGGGCAGATTTGCTAGCGTTGCAAGGGAGGGTTTAAATTAGGTTAGCAGTGGGGTGGGATCCTTAACAGCAGGGAGGCCAGTGAGAGGCTGGAAGGGGATACGGTAATCAGAAATAGCAAGCTGAAGAGACAGGTCAGGCTGGAACAGGACAGGAAGTGAGGAATGCCTGTTGGATTAAATTGCATCTATTTCAGTGCAAGAGGGCTGGCAGGTAAGGCTGATGAACTCAGGGTGTGGATAGGTACGTGGGACTAGGATATTATAGCCATGACAGAAACATGGCTAAGGGAGGGGCAGGACTGGCAGCTTAATGTGCCAGGGTACAGGTACTTTAGGCTGGACAGAGGTGGAGGAAAGAGGGGAGGGGGATTTGCATTTTTGATTAAGGGGAGTATCACAGCAGTAGTCAGAGATGAAATAACCGAGGGATCTTCCAATGAGGCTTTGTGGTTAGAGCTAAGAAATAAAAAAGGGATGGTGACGCAGTTGTGGTTGTAGTATAGGCCCCCAAGTAGTCAATGGGAATTTGAGCAACAAACATACAGGGAGATTGCAAAGACTTGCAGGAGAAATAAGGTTGTCATCATGGGGGATCTTAATTTTCCTAACATAGGCTGGGACTGCCATAATGTTAAGGGCTTAGATGGGGTGGAATTTGTTAAGTGTGTTCAGGAAAGTTTCCTCAAACAGTATACAAAGGGTCCTACTCAGGAAGGAGCAAAACTCGACCTACTCTTGGGAAAGAGGGCAGGACAGGTGACTGAGGTGACAGTGTGGGAGCAGTTTGGGACCAGTGGCCACAGTTCTATTCATTTTAAAATAGTTAGGGAGAAGGACAAAACTGATCCACAGGTTCAAGTTCTAAATTGGAGCAAGGCAAATCTTGATGGAATTAGACAGGAGCCTGCAGTGGTTGATTGGAGTAGTTTGTTTGCAGGCAAAGGGACCTTTGTCAACTGGGAGGTCTTTAAAAGTGTGATAGCTAGAGTTCAAAGACTGTA